ATTCAATATCAGATTAATAAGTCAAAAACATCGGGGAAGACAGTATGATTTACCAACCTCAGCCGAGATTTATGGATTAATAGTTGGTGATTTTTCAACTACAAGCATAGGACGAGATGTTGTCTTGCAATATAAATCCTCACAACTGCAAAGAATCAGTGATCTTCACCCGTTATTTATGAGCCTACAGTACCCCATTCTATTTCCTTATGGAGAATACGGTTACTACGAGAAAATATCATACCACACAGCTGAAGGAAATTAGGTGAAGAGGTCATTCATGACAATGAGAGAATACTATGCTTACCAGATTCAAACTCGATTGTCTGAAGGCCTCACACTTATCAAAAGAGGCAGATTACTTCATCAATACATTGTCGACGCCTACACAGCTACCGAGCAATAACGCCTCTGATGTATCACTCTGAATCAAACAAAATTAAGAGCAGATTTGTACAATAATGTCTACGATGCTGTTGGAAAAGGAGATACAGATGCTAAACAACTAGGGACAAGGGTAATATTACCTTCTTCTTTCACAGCTGGTCCAAGATATATGATTGAAAAATACCATGATGTAATGACTATATGTCGATGGTATGGAAATTCAGATCTTTTCATCACAGTCACAGCAAATCCAAATTGGCCAGAAATTACAGAGCACCTATAAGCATACACCAAAGAATCTTCAAACTCAAGGCCAGACCTTCAATGTAGAGGTTTTAAGATTAAACTTGATGAAATGATGGCAGATTTAAGAAAGGACTATTTTTTCCGCCCCTTACTGCAGATATAAGATAATATTTACAATTTTTAAGTTACATAATATTATATATTTATATTATCTATGAATGAGAACTTAAATATTACTTGCCCCATGTGCAGTCGTTTATACCATTGAGTTCCAAAAGCGAGGCTTACCACACGCACATATTCTTCTGTGGCTGAGAGGAACAACAACAAACCCAGAACCATCATTGATCGACAAGTTCATATCTGCTGAACTGCAAAACAGAGAAAAAGACCAAGAAAGGTACGACCTGGTAAAACAACATATGATGCATGAGCCTTGTGGCTTGAGCAGGCCTTACTCTCCATGCATGGAAAAAGGGGAATGTAGTAAAAGATATCCACGGGATTATATCGACACCACTTCCATTGATAAGGTAGGATTTGTTCTCTACAGGAGTCGAAGGGATGAATCTCAATATGTGGTCAAAGGTGACATAAAATTAGATAACCGTCATGTTGTACCACATAATCTAGATTTGTTGAAGAAGTACAAGGCACATATAAACGTGGAGTGGTGCTGCAAAACAAGTGCAATTAAGTATCTCTTCAAATACATAACAAAAGGTGTGGACAAAGCAACGGCTGTGATAGAGAAGACCAGCAAGGGGAAAACAAAGAAAAGTAATGGTAAAAAAAGGGACACAGAAGATGTCAATAAAATCAGTGATTACCTTGAGTGTCGTTACGTCTCAGCATGTGAGTCAGCGTGGAGGATATTCGGGTTCCACATCCATTACCATAAACATACGGTCATCAGGTTACCAATTCATCTTCCTGGTCAACACCGGCTGGTCTTTGAGCAAACAGAGAACTTGGAAAACGTCTTATTGAGAGACGGTGTGGAGAAAACAATGTTTACTGAATGGATGACCACATGCGAAAATGATGTCGATGCACGTCAACATACATATATTGAGTTCCCAAAATATTATGTATGGAACAGCTCAAACAAGACTTGGACGAAGAGGAAACAAGGAAAGGCAATTGGGAGGGTCGTCAATATTCATTCGTCAACTGGGCAATTGTATTACCTGCGCATTTTACTGAATGTTATTACAGGATCAAGAAATGATGACGACATCAAAACTGTGGCAGGAGTAATACATGCAACATATAAAGATGCATGTTATGTAAGAGGATTACTAGATAACGATAAAGAGTGGCATGATGCAATAGAAAAAGCAGCTTATTGGGCAACAGCAAGACAATTGCGATATCTTTTTGTAATGCTGCTAATCTACTGTGAGGTGGCAAGACCGGTTAAACTTTGGGACCACTGCTGGAAATATCTATCAGATGATATTCTGCACAAAAAAAGAAGGGAATTTGGTTTCCAGAATTTACACCTAGAAGATCCCCAGCTGGAGCAATATACACTCCTTGAAGTTCAAGAGCTACTGATGGAAAATGAGAAATCGTTGACAGATTTTAATGACATGCCAAAGCCCGACCAGAAGATTTTAAAGGACATCTCCAACACGGTTCTTAGACAAGAGCTACACTTTGATGTCAACAAAGAGAGAGAAGAGCACGACAATCTATTTGGAAAACTCAATGAAGACCAAAAGAGGGTGTATTATGCTGTTATGGAATCAATAGAGAATAACTCTGGAAGGCTCTTCTTTGTTAACGGCCCAGGTGGGACAGGAAAGACTTACCTATACAAGACAATAATAGAAAAACTACGGTCTGCTAAAAGAGTTATCATTCCCGTTGCATCAGCTGGTATCGCAGCACTACTCTTACCGGGAGGAAGAACCGCTCACTCCCGTTTCAAGATACCACTTAACATCACTGAAAGTTTGGCATGCGATATAAAGCCAGGGACAATATTGGCTGGGTTAATTACAAACTCGAATTTGATTATATGGGATGAAGTACCACTTGCACATCGACACACATTCGAGGCGTTGGATCGTACTTTCAGAGACCTCATGTCATTAGAGGATGAATCTGTCATGCACAAACCATTTGGAGGGAAAACGGTTTTACTCGGTGGAGATTTCAGACAAATATTACCAGTTGTACCTCAAGGAAGTTGCCAAGATACTGTTCAGGCAGAAATTTTCCGCTCTTATTTGTGGAAATCATGCGAGGTTTTTATGTTAACAATCAACATGAGAGTCAGACCAACAGACGCAGATTTTGCAGCGTGGATTTTAGAAGTGGGGAATGGAAATGCAAAGAAATCAGAAAGTGATGATGCGTACACTGCAGGGTATAGAATTTTGGTGGATAAAGACTTGCTTTTACCTAATGCATGTGAACAACTGCAAAAGATTATATGCGCTGCATATCCACAATTCACACTCTCATTCACTGACAATGCTTACTTGACAGAGAGGGCAATTTTGACGCTCCGGAATGAAACTGTTCATCAAATCAGTGCGTATATGTTGGCAAAAGTGCCGGGTGAAATGAAAGTCTACTTAAGCTCAGACACTATTCAAAAGGAGGTCACACCAGGTATTGATTGGAGTAATCTCTATACCGTAGAATACCTAAATTCACTAGAGTGTCAAGGTCTACCAACTCATGAGTTATGCCTTAAAGTCGGAATACCAGTTATGTTGCTACGCAACCTAAATCAGAAACATGGATTATGCAACGTTACAAGATTAATCGTCACTAAACTAGGGAACAAAGTCATAGAGGGAGAGATCCTAACAGACACACACGTCGGTGATAAAGTCCTAGTTCCAAGGATTGTTTTATCTCCTACCGATAACAAGCATCCATTCAAATTAAGGCGAAGGCAGTTCCCAATAAGAGTATGCTACGCAATGACCATCAACAAAAGCCAAGGACAAACCTTAAAAACTGTGTCTTTATATCTTCCTCAATCAGTATTCAGTCATGGCCAATTGTATGTTGCCCTCTCCCGCGTGACACCTCCACCGGGATTGAAGATCTTAGATGCTACATCAAATATGGACAAAAATGAGGGTGTTGTCAATGTGGTCTACAAAGAGATATTCAACAGTATCAAAATTCCTACAGGTAATGTAATCATCTTTTCGTATCATTCACAACTTGACCATTCTATAAACTCAAACTAAACTGAAATTCTACTAACGCCTAGCTGCATAATACTTCATGACATGACTCAGGAAACATACAAGAGGACAGAGAGACACAAAAGAACAAACATGTGATGGATATATAATCATAGAAAATTCGAGGAAAACGGGTGGGTTGTAAATTATTTAAAATATAGATGTCATATTTTCCTATCTAAAGCGTTTCTTCTACTAACAACCGCATATGTAATATTAACATCGACTTTCAAAAACATACAGGACTTTGAAGTGACTGTCAGGAGAGAGCCAAATAATTCAAGATATAACAGTATGCTAGATTATTAAATGAATTACATGAAAATCTCCATACATTTTTCGTTTATGTTACAACGTACTTTCCAACAGATGACATTTTTCCGCAAGTTATCAAATATTGTTCATTACACAGGAATTCAACTATAATGTATTGTTAACAAAACTAAATGTAGCATCTCCCATGTATTACATATTTTTAGGGCCTTCAGCTTATTTTTAAAATAAATCACAAGCATAAATGAATAGGAGGAGTAGAGGGTTTGCTATTTGCAATTGTTAGCAATTTCGTACAAGTACAAACATGAAAAACAGGATTAAACTAACAACAGACGCAAGCAACGCTTCCCAAGTGTCAACGAAAAAAAAATAAGTAATGGACATTCGACAATCCAATTTTTAACAGAAAATAAATAAACAAAAAAATTTAAACAATAACCACAACTTAAGGAGTCCGTGATCCCAACGCCCACACCAATAAAATAATTAACAGCTCCAAGTAGTATATATATAGGCAAAATGTAGTTGGATAAACAAATCTTAGAATTAAAATTACAAATTAAAATTTAACTTCAAAATTAACAATATGGAACTTAATAACTATGCGTGAACAATATGACGTACAAAAAGTAACGTCCAGAGACAAGAACGATGAATGGAAAACAACAACCCGTGCACATCAATGACCTTAGCAATTAATAGCACGACCCTATTCATATGATTTCAATTAAACCCCACACATATTGTAATAAAAGCAATTAACACGCATTTAACTAGACAATGAAAAGGTGTAACCTACGGTTGAACACCACCTATAAAAACCAATAACAACAAAGTCCCAAACCATTCAAACTGTACCAAACATACGACCCAAAAATGGCTCCCGTCAGCACAATCTCACTCCTAGAAGACCTACCACAAGATCTTCTTGGTGATATTATATCACGAGCAGCTGAATCGGGCCGCCTCAATGTCCGTCATTGCATGGAAGCATCTATGGGACTAGCAAAAGCAACAGAAGACAAAAGAGTGCACAAGAAGCTTAACCTAAGACCTTTGGCTTTCAATCCATTAGCAACACTTCACCAATACGAGAAGCTCATGGAGAAATGTCTAGAGAATGGAAACGCTGAAGCACATTACATCGAAGGCATAAAAGAATACTTCTACTACAACAACATCACCACGGGATTACATCATCTTCAGGCTACCGCAGAAGGTTCGTACGATAATGGCATTTATCTGTATGGAATTATTATGTTATGCAGGGGACAAACCGAAGAAGGCAAAAATTATTTAGACCTTCTAGGGTGGCAAAAATGCAAAAGAAGAGCTGATCGTTGCTGGCGTAATATTCAAAGATCATTACATGTAATTCCAGTCATAAAGTGGGAAATCTATCGCACCAGTTTAAGGAACATCAAACCATCAAGAAGATGCAAGTTAAATGACATGGACACCAGATGCAACAAATGCTACTACTACAAACAAATGAAGAAATTCATGACGCTTCCCTAACAAGTGATAAGACTACAATTACAGTAGCACAATCATGAAGTTCAAGTCATCGGAGGGAAAAAAATTATTTATATGCTTAAGTTCATTTTCTGTTTACAGTTAGATTGTTTCTGCTATGGATTTTCATTTTCAGCGTTTGACCTTTATGATTTGTTTAAAAAGCATACAAACATCAAAAAAGTCAATAATAATTCAAGGCAACGAAAGAGACAGTGGTAGAAATTTAATATCTGGAGACACACTTCTATTATGAATTAAACAGATCGCAAATAACACACAGGGTGTAGAGATGGTAAATAATGGCAACAACAATCACTACAGATCCCTATGACAAAATCTATTTACTATTACAAATCGCAAACATACCCAAAATGCGAAAATGAATTAATATAACCAACAATGACTAAATGTAGTATACTAATCAGTCTTTACAATACGCAACTAGAGTGCGAAACAACTAAAACTAATCAATTCGAACAAAAGAGACAAAAAAATATATATAATATAACTGTATTGGCTGTGAACACGTCAATGAAAAACAAATATCAAATCACTAAACAATAATATAAACGTAATTATTACATGTCCAACTGCGAAGTAACCTGATATAAAAATACAATAACATGGACATATATTCAGTGCAAAATATTTCATAACGGATAACATACAAATAGGAGAAAAAATTTAATTACGTTTACAAAAGACAATAGAATAAATTTATATGAAAACACAATGAATTTTAATCATTAAACCCAAGGAAGGGTCAAATGGATTGATTGTATCATCAAATACTCCAAAACGGCCACAGAACCGTTGAGGGCCTAAACTAAATGCCCACTCACAGATATAAACACTAATAAATACATTAAATATCAAATAGAATAAAAGAAGGGAGAAAAAGGTGGATGGCTAAATTTAAGTACATAATTAGCAAAACAACAAATCATTCATACGTTAGAAGGAAATGGCTAAAGGATGCCGAAAAAAAAAAAAACCAAGTTCATCTAATTACGCGGAGGGCCATAGACTGCGCGTGGTTCTGACTATTAACCTGAATATATCTAGAACAATTGAATTAATTTGGGCGAGATATTGGCGAGATCAGATAGCCGTCGGATGACATTAAATGGGGAGACAAGATAATCTTCAAGCCGCCTGACGTATGCATGAGATATTCCGAAAAGATGGATAGTTATTGTGAATTAGTCATGCTAGAACAAGATTTTTTGAGTGGGTAGGCAGGAAAATGTAAAAATCTGGGTACCCCTAGGTTTGTGAAGTGTCCATAAATAATAGGTCCCTGCATCTAATACCATGTAGCGCTAAAACCGGTTTAAGCAGGTAATGGGGCATTTCGTTTATGAATATCTATGTCTAATGTTGAAGTGCTTCTGTTATTAATAACAACGACGATGTGACCCAGATATCTTTACAGGGTAACGACAATGGTGCAATTCTGGAAAGTCTTCAGTGATTTGGTGCGGGTAGAACAGAGGTGGTGGATGAAAGATGCGGGGGACATGAGCCGATTTGTGTTGCTGGATGGAAATAAACTTGGTGCGGGACGGATATAAACTTATAGCGGGTTATTTGAAAAGATGGTGATTTGTAATGATATAAGTGTATTGTAGATGTCTATTAACATTAGTGGAGTGCTATATTCGTCTCCAAAAGTTATGTTATTCCCTAGATTGTTATATTTACTTAACGGATCGCGTATCCGTAAATTATAATATATTGTGTTATTTTCTTTCATGGATTATGTTGCTCTGATAACTATAATATATGTTAGTGTATGAGGCTATATAGCTGTCTATTAATATTAGTGGAGTGTTATTAAATATGATGGATGATTATCTGAATGGCTGCTAAAAGAACATTACATTGAATTGTAAAAAAAGTTAAAGACATCTAATGTATTTGATAGACAAGTTTTCTCAGGATTGGATCAAATAGAGAATGTCATATTGGGGCATGTGTTCAAGAACAAACAAGACTGCAAGCATCTCCATGTGATACACCTTGGGGTCATCTACTTCATCTGCCAATGCGAAGGCACTTTAGGGGGTTCCATCGAATTCGCCTTCGATTATTGAAGTCACTGCCACCTACAAAAAGAAACCCGCATACTGATTGTGAAGCCACACGCTCAAACTTAGACATCCATATATTCGAGTATCTGATTACATTGTTAGAGAGCTATAACATAAGATACAAAGCTACCCGGGTTTATAATGAAGTTACATGTTCGAAAGAGTCGATATCCCAAGAAAGTGAGCAAGTTTCCCCGAGTGAGCCGTTTTCTGGTACATGTCTATCAATTTTCTGAACCGCGGACGGATCACGTCTAACTCGTCCGATGTGAGTGCTTTGAGGATAGCACTGATAGTTTCAAGCTTGAAGTAGGAGTTCACTCTATCTCCAACCGGTTCCTGCCGATCCGCGAAGATGCGATGGGGAGATCATTCGATTCCATCCTGCGAATGTTGTTTACAACCCGATGTCAATGTAGCATACAGTAATTATAATTCAAAGGACAAAACAAGAAAAAAACCATCATGCAAAGTATCGATCCCTAACCACTACCGAAACACCCAAATAAAATCCCACCCGCCGTAATAATGTGTGACTATATGTGAAAAAAGTAATAGCAAAGCGTGATGCTTCCGTACATGGCGGGCGCTTGGGGTTTACCTGGATAATCAACTGCCGACGTGTGGAATGCTATCTTCTTCCGCTTTTCCGCCTGTAATTCCCTCTGTCTCTGTTTTGTTCCCCTGTATCGCTTTCGCTTTGGGAGTATCGGAAAATAGGGTAATTCAAGCGGCGATGGGGTGGTATGGGGTTCTATGAGAGCAAGATGCGTGCTATTAATATGCCGCTTTATTTGCTATACACAAAAATAAGTTGCAACAATTATAGTTAAAGTTGCTAACTAAACAGTTATTGGTCTTCACACCTCTTCGTTAGATATTTGGTGTATATACGGTTTCTCTTATTTAAAGAAAAGAAAAAAATTATTCTTTAAAATAATAAGTGAAACGCGCGTGAGGGCAAAAACGAGAATAAAGGTGGTAAATTAGTTTGATGCTCAGACACAGAAATAACATATGTCGATTAGTTAATTTACTACCGGTCTTATGCTGTTTTGTGCTATTACTCATAAAAGAAACGGTAACACAGTAGCCAACTATATAAAGGGTCGTTATAGTGAATAAAAGAAACACAACAAACAAAATTACCTCATCAAAATGACGGAAAACCAATCACAGTCACAACTTGAGCAACTGCCAAGAGATCTACTCGGTGAAATTATCTCACGGGTGGCTCCAACTTCACGCACAGCCGTCCGCAATGTCATGGCAGCATCACCAAAACTGGCATTAGGAGCCCAAGATGAACGTGTTTACAAGAATATCAACCTAAAACCACTTGCCCTCCATCCATTGGCAGCACTGCACAGATACAAAGATCTTATGGAAAGATGTCTTTCAAGTGGAAACAAAGAGGCCCACTACATAAAAGGCATCCAAGAGTGATACAAGCCTCAAATTGCTTTAAGGAATGTGTCTTAGAACAGATAGCTTTGAGCTAGATAGAATGGAAGAGAAGACTGGTGGTTTTGTAGCCTTGTTGATGCTTGATGACCCCAAACATCAAGGATTAGATTCTTCTCAGCTCAATGGCTAATCCTCACAAGAGCTTAAGGAGATTCTACACTTCTCACAAGTTCTTTGAATCCCTCAAATAGAACTTAATAAAAAGCAGGAACAATATTTATTCAAAAGACAACTCTCTTTGAAACAAAATAAAATTTTCTTGATTAATAATTTGGTGAATAAAAAGTACAAGGATGTGAGCTTTTTATAATGCTCAGAAATGATGAAAAGCAACGGTCATAATAATTAAAAACAGAAGCAAAGTTTAAGCAAAATGATGGGATGAAAGTCTTCTAGCTGTTTGGTTTTAAAAGTGATGATCTCTTGATTTGGCTATGATGAGAGGATTTCTTTGGCTCCTTTATGAGGTATGGACGTGATGATTCTGGTGGTTTAAATGGATGGCTGAGATTAGGAGATAATGATGGTCTTTGGTCTTCAGTCTTTGAATGATAATCTTCAAGTATGGAAAGCTTCTTTTTGGGGTAATCTCCTTTGGTTTCTGATAAAAGGGAACGGCTGATGACTTGATCTGGTGTAGTTTGGCTTGTGTACACTTCTGTGGACGTGAGGAGGGGCGAATATAATGTCCCAGCTTGACATATATTCGAGTTTCCTTGGTATATATGCATTGACGCTCCAATGGCTCCGTTTATGGAAAGTGGCGGTTCTTCTTTGGTTTGGCAAGATTGAGTTCGGTTATTGGCTTCTTCTGGTGGTTTGGGACGTTAGTTAACTTCAGTAGACTCCAGATAAGGCGTGCATAAGTTGCCTTGATGATATACATTCGTGGTTTCCTTATATGGCTCAGAATATACACATGTAGGTCCATATGTATATAAAAACGTCTTGATGGGTCTTTCTTGGTTAAGTGGCGAGTTGTATTGAACCGAAGGAGTGTTGGCTCAACCCAGCTGGTCCTTTTGATGCCTGAAACGCTGGCGTTTTGAAGCAATACCTCCATTACTTTCAGCTACATGTCCTCCTTTGCCCACAGCTACAAGCTTAGGAGGTGTTATTGGTTCTTGTAGTTTAATGGATTTGAGAATCCAAACCAAATTCAGTGTTATTGGTTCTTGTATTTTAAAATCTATATTGAAATACAGTGTTATTGGTTTTATGATTTTAAAATCCATAATGAAATACAGTGTTATTGGTTCTATCATTTTAAAATCTAAATATTATAAAAATTTGAGTTTTAATTTAATTTGAATGGATTTGGAAGGATTTTCATGACTAAAATATAAAGACCCAAATACAAGGTCTAACATTGGTATTTGAGTGGATTTGATTTTTTTCCATTTTGCTGATTTTAAAATCAATAAATTTATCAAATCCAAAAAAGATTTATAAATCCACCAAAATACAAAAACCAATAACCCCTACTTAGTGTCTCCTTTGCTCCTTTCCTTGTCAAGTACTGATGTATAAGCATGGATGCTTACATCATACTCACCCTCTTGAAGAGGTTTTGTCCTCAAAACACAAGTACCTGCATCACATAAGATTAAGTTAGTTTCTGAAAAATATTTAGAGTTTTGAAGCTTACCTTGGTGATTGGTTTTTAAGTGCTGAAAGAGTTGATTAAATGGGATGTTTCTGGCTTCAGTCAGCTTCAGTGTTGGTGTAAACTCTTCTAATGGTGGTTTCTCCTTAGTGAATTTCATGTTTTCACCACTGTTGTCCACATTTATCTCCCTAAGTTCCATAGTTTTGAACTTTTCTTCTCTAAAACCTGCAAAACAATCTCTTGGCAAAGGCAAGTGCATTATATCTGGTGGATCAAAATTTAAAAACTCTTGAATAGCAAAATATCTAGCCTTATTTCCAGTATTCTGTTTAGCTCTCACTTGTAAAACTCTGATATCTTTTTGAGCTAAAGGAACTAAGATATGCTTACAATGGTTAAGGTGGAAAGAATACTCATTTGTTCTCCCATTGTGGCTGACTTCTCTATCATACTGCCAAGGTCTTCCAAGTAAGACATGGCCAGCTTGCATAGGTGCAATATCACACAATATTTCGTCCTTATACTGCCCAATGGTGAGTGATATATTGACTTGCTTTGACACCTTTAACTCCTCTTTATCATTTAACCATTTGAGCTTGTAGGGTCTAGGGTGCTGCATTGTTTGAAGACTCTACCAAAGAAACACTTGCAATGTTAGCACATGAACCACTATCAATGATTAAATGATATACCTTGTCTTTAATAGTGCATCTGGTATGAAAGAGGTTATCTATTTGCTCTTGATCTTCAAAGATTGGTTGTGTAGTTAATACCCTTTGAATTAAAAGAGATTTTTCTCTAAGGCTTCCTTCTTCAGCAAAGTTGGTGATCTCTTCTTCTGAATATTCAGCCATCTCCTCATCTTGAGAATCATAACCACCATCTGGTCTAAGAATCATGGTCCTCTTGTTTGGACATTCCCTTAAAACATGACCCCTGCCTTGACATTTAAAACAAATAATGTCATGATGTCTATTTGAGTTGCTTGACTTACCTTGCTCTTGGCCATGAGGTTTGAAGCGTGATTCTATGGCTATCCCCTTTCCTTTGTCTATAAATGGCGTGGTGTTTGGCTGCTGCTGCTGCTGAGTTTGTTGAGCTTGTTGTTGATTCCAAGCATTGTTGTTTGAGCCTCTTCTAGTAGAGGTTTTCTTCTTGATTTGTTGCTCTCTTTGAATGGCCAAGTGGAGAAGTTTTTGTAAAGAGTGGTAAGGCTGCATTTCCACCTTTCTTTGTATCCTCTCTTGTAAGCCATCCATGAATTGAGACATGAGGGACTCCTCTGATTCTTCTAACTCCAGCCTACTTCTTAGAACATCAAATTCTTCAAAGTATTCTTCTACACTCTTGGTTCCCTGATACAAAGACCTAAATCTTTTTAGTAAATTTCTGTGATAATGAGGGGGAACATACCTCTTTTGTAGCTCAAATTTCATGTCTACCCATCTGTTGATTTGAGGATATCTTAGTCTCCTCTTTTCAGCTGTTTCTCTGTCCCACCAAGTTAAGGCATGATCAGTGAGACTTGTAATTGCTAGGGCCATCTTCTTTGGCTCATTGTAAGAGTAATACTCAAACAAATGTTCCATCCTTCTTTCCCACTCTAGGTAGGCGGCTGGATCAATCTTTCCTGCAAAAGTTGGAGCAGCAAGCTTGACTTCTGGTGGCAAGTTTCTATCCTCTTGGTATGGCCTGTTGCGATCAGCATTTCTCCTATTTAAAATGTCTGGGGCAGCTTGTACAGGGTCTGGTGCTCGTGGTGGTACATCAGGGGGCTCCTCTACACGATTTGACCTCCTGGAATTTTTCTTCTTGGCAATAGATGTGGAGGACGTGCTGGATTCTCCAAGCGATTTAACCTTTCAGCAGTGGCTTGGGTATTGGCATTGAGGTTGGCAAAATTTTCGTTGATGGCTGCGAATTGTGTTTGCATCATGGCCATCATTGCCTGCATTGGGTCTACTGGTGCTGGATCTTCCATCTAGTACCTTGCAAATAAGATTCAAGTACAAAAGATCAAAGTTTGTTCAAGGTAAATCACAAGAACACAAGAACAGTTTTCAGGCTGTTTAGCAGTTGAATGAAAAATCAAAGATAAATTATCAAATGATTTGAAAATTCAAGAAACAATTTTTTTGTTGTCTTTAAGGGTTTAATTTAACAGAAACAAAAAGAAATTAATATTTTTGAGCTTTTATGGATTTTATAAAATTCGGACAAAATGAAGAACACAGAATTAAGCAGATTTGACCAATTGAGTTGAAAAATCAAAACAAATTATCAAATGATCTGAATAATTTTGGGAAATAATTTTTTTGTGTTTTTGAGAAATTGATAAACATAAACAAAAAGCAAAAAAAAATTTATGGATTTTTTTGGATTTTATAAAATTCGCAGAAGACAAATGAAAATTAAAACAGTTTTTGTGAATTTTTAGTTTTACAAGAAAGGAAAGATGAACGAAAATAAAAATCAAAAACTTGAAAAGGGAACTGAAAACACCTGGATAAGGAGATTTTAGCTCTGATACCAATGATACAAGCCTCAAATTACTTCAAGGAATGTGTCTTAGAACAGATAGCTTTAAGCTAGATAGAATGGAAGAGAAGATTGGTGGTTTTGTAGCCTTGTTGATGCTTGATGACCCCAAACACCAAGGATTAGATTCTTCTCAGCTCAAGGGCTAATCCTCACAAGAGCTTAAGGAGATTTTACACTTCTCACAAGTTCTTTGAATCCCTCAAATAGAACTTAATAAAAAGCAGGAACAATATTGATTCAAAAGACAACTCTCTTTGAAACAAAATAAACTTTTCTTGATTAATAATTTGGTGAATGAAAAGTACAAGGATGAGCTTTTTATAATGCTCAGAAATGATGAAAAGCAACGGTCATAATAATTAAAAACAGAAGCAAAGTTTAAGCAAAATGATGGGATGAAAGTCTTCTAGCTGTTTGGCTTTAAAGGTGATGATCTCTTGATTTGGCTATGATGAGAGGATTTCTTTGGCTCCTTTATGAGGTATGGACGTGATGATTCTGGTGGTTTAAATGGATGGCTGAGATTAGGAGATAATGATGGTCTTTGGTCTTCAGTCTTTGAATGATAATCTTCAAGTATGGAAAGCTTCTTTTTGGGGTAATCTCCTTTGGTTTCTGATAAAGGGGAACGGCTGATGACTTGATCTGGTGTAGTTTGGCTTGTGTACACTTCTGTGGACGTGAGGAGGGGCGAATATAATGTCCCAGCTTGACATATATTCGAGTTTCCTTGGTATATATGCATTGACGCTCCAATGGCTCCGTTTATGGAAAGTGGCGGTTCTTCTTTGGTTTGGCAAGATTGAGTTCGGTTATTGGCTTCTTCTGGTGGTTTGGGACGTTGGTTAACTTCAGTAGACTCCAGATAAGGCGTGCATAAGTTGCCTTGATGATATACATTCGTGGTTTCCTTATATGGCTCAGAATATACACATGTAGGTCCATATGTGTATAAAAACGTCTTGATGGGTCTTTCTTGGTTAAGTGGCGAGTTTTATTGAACCGAAGGAGTGTTGGCTCGACCCAGCTGGTCCTTTTGATGCCTGAAACGCTGGCGTTTTGAAGCAATACCTCCATTGCTTTCAGCTACATGTCCTCCTTTGCCCACAGCTACAAGCTTAGTGTCTCCTTTGCTCCTTTCCTTGTCAAGTACTGATGTATAAGCATGGATGCTTACATCAAAGAATATTTTCACAAAAACAACACGGTCCATGGATTGCAGCATCTACAAAAGCAGCAGAAGGAGGCTACGAAAATGGTATGTATCTTTACGGAATACTCATATTATGCAGGGGAGAAAACGAACAAGGGCAAACTTACTTGGACAAGCTGGCCTGGAAACAGAGCAAATCAAAGTGATGAGAGCATCGACCAACCGTTTGTACCGGAACAAGAAGAGTGTGAACTAGACATTGTACCACCAGTGAACGGTTCACCAATGACACGTTCCAAGACCAGAAGGATGCGAGAAGGGTTTAATTAGGCCGTGGAGATACTACTGATCAATATGGACGTGGGAATGTTACTCAACCCTCAACCGTACCCCATTGCACCCGTAGAAGACATATCGGAGGGCTTTGCCAAAATGAGCCTCAAGGAGGATCCACCGGCCACAAACCAAGGTATGACCATTTACTTGACAGGAAATGGAGCTCAAAACAACAAGAATCTCACCAATGCCGTACCGGAGCGCCAAGATACAACCAGACCAAGTCTAAGAGCCGAGAAGGCATCAATGGAGCTAGAAGACACTTCAAGCCAGGAACCAGGAGGAACTCTCGAGGAACCACCCCAACTTGACTTCAGAGGATATCAGGAAGATGAGGGTTTCAAGGAACTCGGACAATGCAGCCCAAGACCGGACCTAAACCACTACTTGCCAACCAAGGTACATGCGCACCAAAACCAGGTATTTTCAGTTTATACGATTTGTGCAGGTAATGAGGCTTGCCTCAGTGGTTCTTAAGCCTTCTAACACGCCAAGGCTACACCAGTTCGAGCCCTTAAGGCATCAAGAAAGTCGGCTTAGTTTTATTTCTTTTAGCTTAAGTGAACTTTCCATTTTCATGTATTTTAGCCTTTGTGCGTTTTGCTCTTTTGTATTCTTTTGTTATGTCGTTTTGCTTTTTATTTTCGGCCTTAGGGCTAGCTGACGAGCTGTTTATAAAGCTCCTCTGCAGCGTTGTATTTTTGGTTACCCTACATTATCAATAAAGAGACCGAACTTTCTTCACAAAAGCTTAGCCGCCGCTTTGCCTTTGTTCTTGCTTTGTTCTTGCTCGTGTGATTCGTGCAAGGCTGAGTGTTGCTGTATCAGGGAGCCTTCCATCCTCTCTGTGGTGCCATCAATCCACTTCGTTACTCCATTCACTCGATCCCTCAAGGGAGAGCGTTAAAGCCAACTTGATAGATCCCATATCGGCTCAAGACTTGTTTAACAAGCCTTGTTCTACCACCCTTCATCTACTAGTCCGTACGAGAGAGCGACATAGCTAGCGTATTGACTCCATCATCCCATCACTCCCACATCATATAAGCCTCTCATACCGGGTCTTATATCACAAAGGCTGATCAATGCTGGAGAAACATCAAAAGATCCCTGCATGGAGTAAGGGTAAAAAGGCTGGCATGTTACAAGATCAGCTTGCGGAATGCAAAAGCAACAATTATGTGCAACCGCAGAGACATGGAAAACAGGTGCCAACACTGCTACTACTACAAACAAATGGTGAAGTTCGTGTTCATAATGTAACATGAAACAAAGATATCCAATCTCAAATTGAACAAACACTTTCAAATAAAAAAATATTTGTTTGCCTTATGATTTTATAGAGAGACTTTTAATGCATTGAAAACTTCATAAGAGCCATGTTTCTTATGTTCGCCTTCTAAGAAATGCGAAAAACAATGTATAATCTAAATGGAACCTAATATCATCCCAGATTCTATAATCTAATTAAATAAACCAAATACATAATATGAATTTTAGGAAAACGATCAAACTAAACAAATCGAATCTAGAATATAAAGAATGAATTGAGAGCTTAAGATTGATAAAGAACACCTTTTTTATTAGCTTTAGAAAAATAACTCAAAAACTAAAGCCTCACAATCTTTCTCAAAACTTAAGGTATGCCACAACTCGACATTTTCTTATATAGAGGAGATTCTAGATTATTTCCTAATAGAAAAAGGATAACTTACATATTTAGATAACTCCTAAATATGATTATTTTCCTAATCTCAAATAACTTATGACTCAAACTTTCTTCAAGCTTAAGTCAATATTCTCCCCTTAAGCTTGAAATCATTTTTTGATTCTTCTTAAACTCCAATAAGATCTCTCATCTCCTTGAACTTGATTCTTCCTAACACCTTGGTTAAAATGTCAGCCTTTTGCATGCTTCCGGCAACGTGCTCGACTTCAACCTGTTCGTTCTCAACACACTCTCGTATAAAATGGTACCTCCGGTGAATATGCTTGCTTCGTCCATGAAACACAGGATTCTTTGTAAGAGCAATTGTGGACTTGTTGTCAATCCGAATAACAACCTTCTTACAAGCTCTTCCGATGACTTCACCAAGAAGTTCTTGAAGCCAAATTGCTTGCTTAGCTGCTTCTGTTGCTGCCATAAATTCAGCTTCACAAGAAGATAATGCCACAATTTCTTGTTTTTGTGAACACCAAGTAATCGGACACTCGTTGAGATAGAAGATATGGCCAGTGGTGCTCCTTTCGTCATCAGCATCTACGTTATGGCTGCTGTCACTATATCCGACCAACTCTCCTTTGCTTGCTCGACCGAATGAGAGACCAAAAGAAAGAGTTCCTTGTAGATACCGTAAGATTTGTTTTAAGGCTGCTCCATGAGGTTCTTTAGGTTCATGCATATACCTACTTAGTACTCCAACACAATACGAAAGATCTGGTCGTGTATGAAGCAAGTATCTAAGACACCCAATATTTCTTCTATACTCCTTCTCATCTATGCATCTTTCTCCGTGTGCCTTAGACAGTTTTAACCCCGAGTTCATTGGAGTATGAACCGGATTGCAGTCTTTCATTCCTGTTTCCTCTAGTATCTTTCTCGCATATCTCTCTTGTTTAAGCGTGATCCCTCCTTCGTGTTGAAACACTTCAATACCAAGATAATAAGTTAGCTTTCCAAGGTCACTCATTTCAAACTTTGTTGACATTCCCTTTTTGAATTCAAGTATCATGTCCAGACTTGAACCCGTAACCAGAAGATCATCCACATAAACAGCCACTAGGAGAAGATCTTCTTTGTTCTGCTTTCGGTACAAGGAAGGTTCCATGGAGCATTTGACAAAGCTCAAATCACCAAGAACCTTATTTAGCTTCTCATTCTACGTTCTTGGTGCTTGTCTTAGACCGTAAAGTGCCTTTTTTTAATTTGTACACCTTGTCTTCACTTCCCTTAATCACAAATCCCTCCGGTTGATTAATGTAAACGACCTCCTTTAAATCGCCGTGAAGAAACGCGGTCTTTACGTCTAGGTGATGAACTTCCCAACCGTTTGAAGCTGCTAGACCGATGATAAACCTGATTGTTTCAATACGCGCCACCGGAGCAAACACCTCTTCAATGTCTATGCCATATCTTTGTACGTAACCTTTCGCCACGAGCCTTGATTTATGCTTGTTTATGCTTCCATCAGAGTTACGTTTGATCTTAAAGACCCATTTTAACCCAATCGCTTTAGCTCCAGCTGGAAGATCAACCAAGTCCCACGTGTTGTTCTTGACTATTGAAGATATTTCTTCTTTACATGCTTCTCTCCACACTTCCTCTTCTTTTGCCTCATCAAAGTCCCATGGTTCTTCATTGATTAGAATCACAAGACGCTCACACTCTGAGTCACACTCGAATTCAACCAGTTTACAAACGTAATCTTTTAAGTAACCTGGTCTATTACTTGGCCTTATTGATCTTCTCAACGTGACTTGGCTCTGATCTTGTTCTTCAGTGCCTACATTCTCTTCTTCATGATCAGGGAATTCCTCTAAAAGATCATCATCTTCTATGGTAACCTCATCGTTAACCGTTTCTCTGTTTTCTCCTCTATCTTCGTCTTCTCTAACGCCATTATTGCCATATTCTCCAAAGCTAAGTTTAAACATTCCTGGTTCATCATTGGTTTCTTTATCCAGGTTGTTCCACTTCTAACTCTTGCTTTCATCGAAAACAACGTCCCTGCTTACCGTTATTCTCCGGCTTGTTGGGTCCAATAGTCGATAGGCTTTTGACCCTGGCTCAGTTCCGAGATGCACCAGTGTTCTTGATCTGTCATCTAACTTCTTGAGGTGTGGAGTTTCTACCTTAGCATATCCAATACACCCAAACACACGCAGATGCTCAACATTAGGTTTCTTCTTCTTGAAAGCTTCGTATGGGGCTTGTGAAGTTAATGCTCTCGTTGCAACTCTGTTGATGAGGTAAGTAGCATGTCTCATTGCTTCGCCCCAGAGGTAGTTTGGTATACTCATATGCTTCAGGATGCTCCTAGTCATCTCCAAGAGGGTTCTGTTTCGCCTTTCGACTACTCCGTTTTGTTGAGGTGAATATGGAGCCGTTAAATGTCTTTTAATTCCGGATGTTTCACAAAACGAGTGAAATTCTTGTGACGTAAACTCTCCACCTCGGTCTGTTCTGAAAGTTTTTATTGTAACTCCTGTCTCTTGTTCGACCAATGCCTTAAACTTCTTGAATTTTTCAAAGGCTTCTCCCTTTTCCCTTAAAAGAATTGACCACATGTAACGCGAATGATCATCAATGAGTACAAATATGTACCTGTTTCTTCCGGCTGTAGGAGGTGTGATGGGTCCGCAGAGGTCTCCATGTATGAGCTCGAATGGTTTTGTTGCACGGTATGAAGTTGCTTGTGGGAACATTCGTCTTGCTTGTTTCCCAAGTAAGCATGACGCACATGTTTCTTTCTCGACCGTAAGTTTAGGTATTCCAATGACCAGCTCCTTTGTTACCATCGATTTCATGGAATCCACTCCAATATGTCCTAGTCTTGCATGCCATTTTGTTGAATCATTCAATGTTACAAGCTGTAAACACCTTGAATCAACTATATCCATGAGTACTTTGTATAGTCGGTTCTTAGATCGCTTTGCTTTCGTAATCAGATTACCATCTTTGTCGTGTAATATAAGATGGTCTCCTCTCATTCTAACATCGCATCCTGACTCCGTAGCTTATCCAAGACTAATGATGTTGCTCTTTAACTCCGGTATGAAGTAGACATCGGCTAAGATCTTTCTTTTTCTGTTCTTATTGAGAAAGAGTATTGAACCTTTTCCCTGTCGATGCGAGAATCATCTCCAAAGCGCACCTTTCCTGTGATAGACTCGTCGATCTCCTTGAAGTACTCACGGTTTCCGGTCATATGGTTACTCGCACCATTATCTAAGTACCAGACATTGTTTGCATCCGAACATGTTTCAAAGTCCTTTGGTTTTACGTTCCTTTCGTTCAGAAACACCACCTCGTGCATCATTAACTCATCCGCCTCTTGTGTGTCATTGTCTTCGTTTTCTCGTGCCTCCTGGAGTTTAAGCAATCTATCAGGACAATTTGATGCATAGTGACCGTTTTTGTCACACCAGTAGCATACGATTTTAGACAAATCTCTTTCACCATTAGATCGTCCACCACGTCCTCTTCCTCTTCCATAGGATCGTCCTCCGCGACCTCTGCTTCTATATTCTCCATTAGAGTCACGGTTTGTCTGATGTTGTTGACCCTCCATGTTTGCATACATCAGTTTACTCTGATCTTCTTGAGTCTCTTCTTCGTCGAAGATACGTTCTTCGTAGGCCTTCAAACGTCCTATGATGTCTTAGAAAGTGGTAGTGTTAAGATCCAATACTTGCTCCAAAGAAGCAACTATGTGTATGTATTTCTTCTGAGGAAGACTTTTGAGGAACTTCTTAACCAGTTTTGCTTCTTCGATGTTTTCTCCTAGGGCGGCTGATTTCGATGAGATTTCTGATAGTTTGCCGACAAAGTCATCGATTGTTTCAGTGGGCTTCATCTTAAGCCGATCAAACTCAGCCATTAGAGTTTGTAATCTAGCTTCTCTTACTCTTTCTGCTCCCATATGTCTTGCCTTGATTGCATCCCATACTTTCTTTGCTGTATCTAACTCTCCAACTTGCAAGATAAGCGCCTCGGGTATGGATTGGAAGAGTAAGGCTGTGGCCATATCGTTCTTGTCACCGTCACTTGATTCCTTGTCCACGACCTCCCATACTTTATGTACCTTGAGCAAAATCTTCATCCTCATGGACCATACAGTATAGTTAGTTGCACTCAGCATAGGACACTGAATAGAAGGAGATCCTCCTTCTTTAGGTTTTGGAATTGATGACGTTGTTGTCGTAAGATCCCCCATGACTTACGATGCTTTCTTTTCTTCACGAAGAAAACAATTCTTATTAAACGAAAACTTCAAGATTTGATCTCTTTTGCTCTGATACCAAATCTAGAATATAAAGAATGAATTGAGAGCTTAAGATTGATAAAGAACACTTTTCTTATTAGCTTTAGAAAAATAACTCAAAAACTAAAGCCTCACAATCTCTCTCAAAACTTAAGGTATGCCACAACTCGACATCTTCTTATATAGAGGAGATTCTAGATTATTTCCAAATAGAAAAAGGATAACTTACATATTTAGATAACTCCTAAATATGATTATTCTCCTAATCTCAAATAACTTATGACTCAAGCTTTCTTCAAGCTTAAGTCAACATCGAATGGGAAAACAAAACACTAACCCGCGAATTAAAACCACTTCACAAATCCGATGAAGCCTACATCACCCCAGAAAGTGAACAGTTAATTCAAAAGCATAACATTTCAACGTCTCTTAATTGTCCGGGTCCCAATATGATGACGGAGACGGAGACGCTGATTTCAGATCTACACCAAATCGCTGAATAGAATAATAGCTCCAGAAAAATCCGGTAACAAATTCAAGGTTAGAGAGATGACAGGAGGTGGGTCTGGAATTTCGACTTCAAGGTTGAGGTCCAAAAAGTGTATGAAGTGGAAGACATTGTTGGGCGATGATTGTCGAACTCCGGCGGAAACATAGCAACAAATGGGATACACAACAATCTTCGACCAGTAAAGCACCCCTTGGCCCAACTGATTCTAACCTTGGGGGATACACCATCTTAGTCTACTAAAACACCCTCGGACCCAACTAATTTCCCAATTACAAATTTTATGTTTCTTACCAATTGGGTATGATGGATTCTTCATAAAAATGACAACGTAAAGAGTTTTAATTTTATATGTTAGCATCATTATAATACGAATGTCAAAAAAAAAAAACACAGATCAAAAATACATTTCTCTTAATATGGGTTCTTTTGGAAATTATTGCTTTCGCTTACAAACACACAATTGAATAGAATAAAAATATTAAAAAATACAAAAAATTTAATCTCATCCAATAATAAAAACATGGATGATTGTAATAATGTAAAGATAGAGGCAATTCACTTTAATTAACATAAATATCAACCATTATATAAATACGACTGAAACATTTAAAAAAACATATAAAAACAAAAAAAATAAAGATATTCGCGCAAAGCACGGACTCACCACTAGTATCTATTATATAAAGATTCAGTTGAGTCTCACAAGGCGATGACACCTCAGCATCCTTACACATCAGCAAAATTATTTCAGTCAAACAAAAATGATTTCCCCTCAATCGTTTTCTCACACAATTTAAAGATTTCAAATCGTTTTCATCCGAGTTAGGTTACGTGCCTAATTTAAGGTTTATCTTTTCTCTTTTGGATTGGGCTTCTGTTCTCTTTTGCTAGACCTTCTTCCATGTAACGAGAGAGAAGAGAGTGATTGAAGATGGCGATAGAAGTAACAACATCGGTACATGCATCGATCCCAACACTTGAGATAAACATTGTCCTCGCGCTGCCAACAATGGCAATTGTTGAGACTCACAAGTACGCTTTCCTCTGCGTCGCCGAAAGAATCCTCTCAACAGGTTAGTCTCTTCCTTAAACCATGTACTCCGGCGATCTCGTCGGCGAAGCATTTCCCTTCACTTCACTGATGCGAGTACAATCGTTTTCGTTTCCATCCTATTTTCAGAAAAGTCGATACTTGTAGAGAAGAGCCAAGTCTCCCCCTTAATAAATCGCCATGTTTGTTCTCTCTTCTTCTCTTAAAGTAATTAAATAACTCTACAATGATAATGGATTTAGCTAAAATCTAATTGGTATAAGTGGTGTATGTTTTGTCTTGATGGATTCAATCCAAATTTCTTCTGAGATTTTGCAATTAAGTTTTCTAAAGAGAGAAAAAAGTAACAAAAGATGCATCATGTCAAGTTTACAGTTTTGAATTAAGATTGGACTTTAATAGTACACATCATGCTAAGTTTCATTTCTTTTTTATTATGTTCGTTATATACATTGACATGGGGGTGTTTTGCTGCTCAGAATAAAGTATTACATTGTAATATACCGTGGAAAAGAATTCCAAAAACGATTGATTACGATAAACTGGTTATAGACAAATCTTTTGGGTTTGACACTGCTGTGGAGGAAGCTCAACGCAATCAACGCAGCTAATGTTGAATCAGAGAGTAATGAGAATTGTGTCGATTTTGTTAAGCTTATGGGTCGTTACAGTGGTAAGCTTTTCTCTTCCTGTGTGTTTTGCCTTGAAATATTACACTTAAAAACATGTTATTCATAAAAGGCTATGTCCTGATTTCCTACAGGATTCATAGCGATGTATGCTACATTAGCAAGTAGAGATGTTGATTGCTGCTTGATTCCCGAGTCACCATTTAACCTCGAAGGAGAAGGTGGACTCTTGGGGTTCATAGAGAAACGGCTCAAGGAACATGGTCACATGGTGATTGTTCTTGCTGAAGGAGCAGGACAAGATTTGATGTCCAAAAGCATGGAAACTAGTACTCTCAAGGACGCGTCTGGTAATAAACTTCTCAAAGATGTCGGTTTCTGGCTATCACAAAGCATCAAAGTATATAAAACAAGACTCGAACTTTCTCTTATGCCATTACAGAAAACTCATCAGTGTTTTTAACGTTTTTTCGCTCTGGTGATAGGATCATTTTAAGAAGATTCAGATGGTGATGAATCTCAAATACATTGGTAACAAAATGATATCCTTTTTACTCCCCCGTTTTTAATTTCAGATATTTGGATTTATTGTTTCTTTGTAAACTCATTTCTCGTTTCTCGCTTTTTAAATCCAGCATACATGATCTGGACTGTTCCAAGCAATGCATCAGACAATGTCTACTGTACACTTCTTGCTCAGAGTGTGGTGCATGGCGCAATGGCTGGTTACACTGGCTACACCAGTGGTCTTGTCAATGGAAGACAAACATACATCCCTTACTACGTAAGTTACTGAAATAGATCAAATGCGTTTTTGCTTTAATCCCGAGTTTAGACTTACGGGACGGATCTGACTGTTGATTAGGGTTGTTGCAATGGAATAATCTGGTTCGACTTGACGGAGGCTGTGATTTGATCCATTTTTTGTTATTGCAGAGAATAACAAAGAAACAGAACAATGTGGTGATTATGTTCCGGAAAGTGGGATTTAAAATAAAGTCGTACTTACCTTTGGGTGAGTCGTACTATATTAAGAATGAAACAAATGTCTCATTTTATATGAACTAACAGTTTCTTTACGTGGACATGACTACCAGATATCCATGGTGTTTTCGACGGAGTCATCGAGAATATGCATTTGCATTGGAAACACAGAGAATTGGCGAAGCTTATATCAAAATATAAGAGTCTTGCGGTTCTCGAGGACACAGCTGGGTTACTAAAAATACCAGAGCGGTGAAGTTCTTGTGGCAATAGAAAAGTTTCCTAAAGAATTTGCCATTATTTACTACCGTGCCTAGAATTACCAAAGATCAATTAGCTTGAGACCAAGAAACCTTCTCACAAAAGCAAATCATTGAAGCGTTCCATTGCAATGCAACACCATGAGATTCGAAATTCCGGTAACTTCTCCACACAAATTGCATTCTGTATTCACAACTTGGTTGCAGCTTGCTTATGGAAACTTCTCTTTGTCGATTATTGCAGGCATATAGCCATCATATCTCTGAACTGGAAAAAAACATTAGAGAAAATGCAGAACGAACTTGTAAGTGGTGGCTTCCTCACCTGGGGACTTCCAGTCTAATACACTTTTAAGATCTCTTTACTTCCCAGAGCAAGCATGTTTTGCTGTGTTCACTTCATTCACTTATTGTTTCTTGCAGCCTTCCAAAAACCTGTCATACAATGATCTGAATGGGAGAACAATGAAGACGGTGATGATGACGAGGATGAAAAAGATGATGTCATCTTCTATTACTGAAATGGACCCAAAGCAAAACAGGTTTTTTATATACAAAGAGAGCATTGGTTTACTCTAAAGTGATTTAGAAACGTTTTCACTCCTTTAAAAAGATGTAAACATATAATGTAAGCTTAAAATATTTCACCCTTGGTATATATAATCATAAAACTTTTCAACTGTTCTTTCACATTGGATTATCAGCAGTGTCACACCTCATAAGCTGTTTTATTTGTTTACTGTTGATTATTGTGTTCCTCATATGTTTTACGAAATTGAAAAAAACAAAGCAAAAAGCAGACTTACTGATTTTCTGAGGGGCAACGTTTTCAATTTAATTAGCTCTCTAAGAGAGTATTTGTGATTTTGTTATTCTTGAAATTGTAATTAATTTTTATTCACTATCAGGTATGACATAAATTCAAATAAAATTAAATGAACTTACTATAAAAAAACACAAAATAGACATATCCACAGCTACTCACCTAATATATAATAAATTTTGTTTACAAATATTATTTACTCTAATAGCAGTTGTGAATATATATTACTGGAATTATAATTTTCTCTTGGAAAGCACATCAATTAATTTTTCTAATTATGAATTTACTAACCAAGTTGAATAGTAGAGTCTAGAGATATCGGAGAGAGTACATAAATCGAGATACATGGCCGACGATAAATAAATGTGTATACATAACAAAATGGTGATTGAATGAGAACAAATAAAAATATATTCGAAGAAAAAAGGAGAATTCAAACAAGAAGATTCAAGAATAATATAAATTCAAGATAAATATTATAAAACTTTAATAAGTAAATTTATAAAATAAATATTTAAAATTACAAGTGAAATAATATATAGATTAACAAATATAAACTTATAACATTAATATATCTAAAACAAAATAGTATAATTAATTTAAATATAAAATAAATAATAAAATATAAATCTGCGTGTATACGCGGGTCATCACCTAGTAATATATAAAAGTTGATGGCATAGTGCATTGAAGGAGTCCACATGCGATTAAAAAAACTCGATCTGATTGGTCCACATCAGCATATTTATTAAATAAAAAATGTTAAGTATGATTAGGACAGAAAAACTTGATTTAATTGGTCCACATCAGCTTTTTAATCAAACCAAAAATTATTAAGTATAATTAAAACATTAAAAGTTAATTTAACAAAATTATGTCCAACAAAAAAAGTAAATTCAATCTGATTGATCCAAATCAACATATTTATTCAATCAGAAAATATTAATATGGTTTAAAAATTTAAAAGCTAAATAAAAAAAATTAACAATTAACAATACATGTAATAAAAGAAACTAACCATTATCATCTATTAATTTCAAAAAATCTACAGAAACTTTATTTAATAATTAAAACAATGAAAACTGAATAAAAATATAACATAAAACTCTTGGAAGACATGATGGAGAAGGAAAAAATGATTTTGCATGATCATTACAGCTTTCTAATAAAATTAAATGCGAATCAACATGAATCATGTATTATATATGCAGTGGTACACAACATCAATAAGACTTCAATAAAAACTAAATATTTGAATACATAAACCTTTAAGAAAAAAAGAACTATAGAAATTTCATGGAAAACAGAAAATAATACCAAAATCTTAGCAAACAAATATTTCTCTAAATCAAATGTATATATACGTCTAAGTTGGATAATTCGATAGGTGTCATTGTTATTATTTTACCTAATAGTTGTTTATAATTTATAAATAAAAATACGATAAATGACACATTATATATTAAATTCTCATATATAAATGAAATTTTTTATAAATATATTATATTTTTAATAATTTTGAAGATAGTAGCTAAAAACAATTAAACCAAAATATTATCACAGACTCACGCGTAGCGCGAGTTATATACCTAGTATAATATATAAAAGTTGATGGCATAGTGCATCGAGGGCGTCCACATGGGATTAAAAAACTCGATCTTATTGGTTCACATCATCACATTCATTAAATAAAAATATGTTAAGTATGATTAGGACGAAAAAAATTAATTTGATTGGTTTACATCAGCTTTTAAATCAAACCAAATTATGTCCAACAAAAAAAAAACAAATTCAATATGATTGATCCAAATCAATATATTTATAAAATCAGAAAATATTAATATGGTTCAAAATTTTAAAAGTTTAATAAAAAATTAACAATTAACAATACATGTATAAAAAAGTAAGCATTATCAATTATCAATATAAAAAATCCACAACAACTCGATTTAACAATTAAAATAATAAAAACTGAATAAAAATATAACATAAAACTCTTGGAAGAGATGATAGAGAAGGAAAAAATGGTTTTCCATGATTATTACAGCTTCCTAACAAAATTAAATGTGAATCAACATGAATCATGGATTATTTATGCAGTGGTACACAACATCAATAAGACTTTAAATAAAAAAAACTAAATATTTGACACATAAACCTTCAAGAAAAAAAGAACTATAGAAATTATATGGAAAACAGAATATAATACCAAAATCTTAGCAAGATTATATTTCTCTAAATCAAATGTATATGTACGTCAAAATTGAATAATTCGATAGGTGTCATTGTTATTATTTTACATACTAGTTTTTAAAAATTTACAAATAAAAATAGGATAAATTACACATTATATATTAAATTCTCTTTTATAAATGAGAATTTCTATAAATATATTATATTTTTTATAATTTTAAAGATAGTAGCTAAAAATATTAAATCAAAATATTAATACAGACTCGCGCGTAGCGCGAGTTATATACCTAGTCATCATATAATATATAAAAGTTGATGGCATAGTGCATTGAGGGCGTCCACATGAGATTAAAAAAATCGATCTGATTGATCCACATCAGCATATTTATTTAATAAAAAAATGTTAAGTATGATTAGGACGGAAAAACTTGATTTAATTGGTCCACATCAGCTTTTAAATCAAACCAAAAATTATTAAATATAATTAAAATATTAAAAGTTAAATAAAATCTGATTGATCCACATCAGCTTTTAATCAAATTGTGTCCAGCAAAAAAAAGTAAATTCAATCTGATTGATCCAAATCAACATATTATTAAATCAGAAAATGTTAATATGGTTTAAAAATTTTAAAGTTAAATAAAAAAATTAACAATTAACAATTAACAATATATGTATAAAAAAAGTAACCATTATCAATTATCAATTAATAAAATCTACAACAACTCGATTTAACAATTAAAACAATGAAAACTGAATAAAAATATAACATAAAACTCTTGGAAGACATGATGGAAAAGGAAAAAATGGTTTTGCATGATCATTAAAGCTTCCTAACAAAATTAAATGTGAATCAACATGAATGATGGATTATATATACAGTGGTACACAACATCAATAAGACTTTCAATAAAAAACTAAATATTTGAACACATAAATCTTCAAAAAAAAAAGAACTATAGAAATTATATGGAAAACAGAAAATAATACCAAAATCTTAGCAAAATTATATTTCTCTAAATCAAATGTATATGTACATCATAGTTGGATAATTCGATAGATGTTATTGTTATTATTTTGCCTAATAATTTTTTAAAATTTATAAATAAAAATAGGATAAATTACACATTATATATTAAATTCTCTTATATAAATAAAAATTTCTATAAATATATATGTTTTTCATAATTTTAAAGATATTAACTAAAAAAATAAACTAAAATATTAATACAGACCCGCGCGTAGCAAGAGTTATATACCTAGTATAATATATAAAAGTTGATGGTATAGTTCATTGAGGGCGTCTACATGGGATTAAAAACTCGATCTGATTGGTCCACATCAAGATATTCATTAAATAAAAAAATATTAAGTATGATTAGCGCGGAAAAACTTTATTTAATTGGTCCACATCAGCTTTATTATCAAACCAAAAATTATAACGTATAATTAAAATATTAAAAGTTATTTTAACAAATTATGTCCAACAAAAAAAAAATTCAATCTGATTCTAAATCAACATATTTATTAAATTAGAAAATATTAATATGGTTTAAAAATTTAAAAGATAAATAAAAAATTAACAATTAACAATATGTAACACCC